CCAAAGATGGTATGCCCTGTGTTTTCTTGCTCCTTACAGCGCTGAAATGCACATACTGATAAGATGATTGTTTCTTGCTGCAGGTTTATGATTTCTTTATATATATATAATTAAATTAATTTGTATATCTTACTTTTTGGATCAGGTATATTAAATGATTATATGCTACATGAGATCTTGGTTAAATAGATAGTGATTATTATTAGAATAGATGTGTCTGCTTTTCTCTCTTTCAGTTTTGGAATAACGAGGATGCTGTTTATAATTATTAAATTAAACTGTGACTTCTTATTTGTAGGATCAGACTAGTTAAATAGGTTGGGTTACGTTAGATTAGTCATTATTTTCAATTTTGAATCAAACTGTACTGACCACTTCTAATTTTTATCAAATAAAGAAGCTTATAAAATTTTAGGGAAGTGTGGACATTCAATTATTTTGTCACTGTAATTTAAAGGTCCACTATTATGCAAAATTCACTTTTTGCATTTTTCTGTGCTACAATATTGTTATCTGATTCTGGAAACAGTCCAAAAGCAAGAAAAAAGACATACAAAGCACCTTGTCATATTTTGGGAATAAGTACTGGTGTTTGCAAAACAGCCTGTTTCAAAAACTTCTAAATTTTTGCGTCAAAATATCTTACCTAGCAACCTCAACTCCAGTCCATCACCTCAGCTGGCAACCCAAGCGGAGTTCGACCTACTTCATTAAAGACCATAGCACAATGGCTGCTGGAAAGGGAAAATGTTTTGTTGTGGGCTCTAATGCAGAGCATGTGTACAGGCATTTTCTCCCAATGACAGAGAACAGAGCTGCATGGCTTCATTTTATTTTTGCTTGCAATGTCCCTTGTGATGTTGCCAGAAAGTTGTAGCCTGTGTAGATCAGTTTAGGAAGGAGTTCCAACATTACACAAGATTTACTAAAATACTTGGACTGAAGGAAGGTTCTGTTTGTCACTAATCTGCAGAAGATTGTGATCAAAGTACATGATGTGTTTTGTGTTGTTGTTCAACACGTACATGATTGGCCATTTGGCACAAGCAAAAGCTGTGCTAAATGACCCTTTGCTAGCCCTGTGTCTTACATTACATTACATTACCCACAATAGCTGCGCATTTGCTGTTGGAATTGTGGTAAACTGGAAGTTATGGTCTACAGAGAAAAGATGTGGTGTTTGTGAAAACATGTCAGACACCTGGACATTACCAACGTCGTCTGATTTTCTTTCTTTTTTTTTACATGTTGTGCTTTTCCTCTAACCGCGCAGCAGCTCATTTACATAATTGTGATGTAGCCCTAAAACGCAGCATTCCTTAATGAGCTCGAAACAGGCAGAACTGACTGGGTGAAATCTCGATTTTTGAGAATAATTTTGTGTATTTACAGTAATGAACATGTTTTGTTCATTAGAGCTGACCTATAGCTTGTTCAAGGCAGCATATGATCTGCTTCAAGGAATTTTAATAACCAAGGCCCTCAAATCATTCCACGACTCATTACAGCCTTAGAAGGGGGCATCATACCCTTGTGTCCCCTCACGCTCCGTCCAGGATTTCTGCTTATGCTTATAACACTTCAAAGTTTGATGGGTGGAAAAAGCTGATTCTTTGACTTTTTTTTTTTTATCTTGGCATTGTATTGACTACCTTTTACCAGTATAAAAGTTTCACTTTTATACCATTAAGACACAAATAATTGTCAACTGAAATGGTTGAAATATTTCAAGAAGCTCAGTATCTTCATATTTAGCTTCTTGAATCTAAACAAGAAACTCGAACATATCATATTTAAATCCATGTTGTGATTTTCACAAATATTTATCTAATTTAGCTAAAACACAAACTTTTAGTTCTTATTTCCTCCCTCGCTACCTCATTTGTTGGCTGTATGTTGTTGATTTCTTAGAAGCACGAGGCATGAAACGCCCCGGTGTTCTGGTGCATTAGTTTTCTCATTTTTAGATTAATCAATCAATCAATCAAATTTTATTTGTAGCCTATAGCACATTTCTGCAGCAAGGCATTTCAAAGTGCTTTACATAGTTAAAATAAAAATAGCAATAAACAGTTAAATGGGAACAATATATGGACCACAACAAATAACATTTTCCAAGTACACAAGAATAGACAAGTTAGAGAGAGGCGTCATGATGTCAGAGGGCTGAAGCTCTTCTGAGGAAACCATCACTATTCTCATAACCATAGAAAAACATTAGTAATAAAGCAGCTGCAGTGATACCAAAGACCATAACACAACAATCGACATGTTCAGACTGATAATGCATCTTGGCGCAACATTTCAATGCCTGATGAAAAAGTTATTGTGGAAACTCAAAGAAAAGTTCTGGTGTATATCAGAACGCCTTTAAATGGCTTAATCATCCTGGGTGCCACATGTATTCTCTATTATTACGTTTGTTGTACAGTTAATGCATTTTCTTTTAACTCTGAACTAAACGAGACAGTTTTAACTTTAAAAAAAATAAAAAGACTCAATCACAGCAAGTAAGGATTTATTTTAAATAGGTAAGTTTTATTTATGGCAGTCAGTCAGAAGAGAGAGATTCTCAATAAAATCATGACACAAAACCTGATTAAACTACTTGTTTATAAATTATTGCATAAAGTTACAGTGAGCTATGTTACAACCACTTATCAACTAAGTGACAAGACACCTTAAGAAAGAATCCTGATACTCAATAATGTAATTCAATATCACATTGTTTTTATATCTTTCCCAGAAAAATTGTTGTTTATGTTAAAAAGAGAAACTGAAAGCTTCCTGACATGTTGACTGTTGTAGTATTGAGGTCCCAGGCTTACTGATCCAGAGACTCGGCAAAAAGCGAAGCATGACACAACCCTCACAAACTGAGCAACCTGTGTTGGCCACAGTGACTTTCATTTGCCTGTGGTAATTTTCCACAAAAAAAAAAAAAGAAAAGTTTGTGTATACTTTTCTTACTTTCCAGTATTCTGAAGTGAATATGTGTAGCAGTAAGTTGTTTCTAGCCAAAGCCGACTTTTGGGGGCAGGTGGGCATCCTGAAAACACAGAGAAATGACTGGAGGAATTAGAGATGATGTAGATTAAATCATGCTGGAACACGTTAATGAAGTCTCCATTTGCAGACAGTAGACCCACTGCATCCTCAGACTTTATGAGAAACAGGTTCAGTTTACTTATGCAACTTCGAAGGGATCAACTCATGTTCAGTGGTTTTGTTTTATGTTTTAGCTATTTGCTTCCTCAGACATGTTCAGACGATCGGGACGCAGAGTTCGCTCTCAGAGAATCTTGAAATGTCTTCATACCAATAAAGAAGAAATCAACTTGCTATTACCTTGCTTAAGTGAGGTAGGTGCACTCTTGTCAGTTGTTTTCTTCTGAATCTAAGATGAGTTTCTTTGTTCTGAATCCAATCAGATCCAGCATAAGAAATGTCTAGAATAACAGAGATAAATTACAAGCATGTTTGATATAAGCTGACAAGGTGCACTGGTCTGGCCAAAAAAGAAGTCACCACCTGAATTTCACTGAGCAAATAAGTATGAACTTCATATTTGATTGTACCTGCATGGAGTTATTTAACTTATTTAACCGTAGCTGATGCAGGTACTAGCTTCTCATTTCTTAAACAACCGTGCAAAAAGACACATAAAATGGTCGTGGAGAAGCTGCTGGTCTGTTTAAGAAGGGCCAAATCATTGGCATCGAGCATAGAAAAACATCTACTGAGATTGCAGATCTGGACTGCCATCATTAAAAGCTGCAAGGATAGTGGGAAAACATCATCATTGAGGAAGAAATGCAGTCAAGAAAAAATGCTGAGTTAAGCTATCAGTGATCACTTAAACATTTGGTGACATCAAATCAAAATACAAGAAGATTACAACTCATGCCTCGGTTTAATAGTGAAAGTAAGAGTATTTCCACAGTCACAATGTGAAGGGAACTGATGGGATTGGGACTAAACATCTGTGTAGCAATAAGAAAACCACTAATCAGTGAGGCTAACCAGATTAAAAGGTATTGGTTTCCAATGGAGCAGAAATACTTGACTTTAGAGCAATATAAGAAGGTCATGTGATCTGAGGAGTCCAGATTTACTTTCTTCCGGAGTAATGGGCACATTAGCGTAAGAAGAGAGGTAGATGAAGTGATACACCCATCATGGCTAGTTTCTACTGCACGAGCCTGTGGGCAGTGCGGTGGTCTGGGATTGATGCAGTGGGTGCGGTCCAGTTACTGAATGCTGCTGTGAACATGTTATCAAAACAATGCCTCATCAAAATGTGTGCTGTATTCGAAGTTAAAGGTGGTCCAACAAAATATTGGCATGAGTGACTCAGAAACTCAGAAAGGGTTTGAGAGAATCAATTTTCAATAATTAACATGGATTCTAGGACAGCTTTGGTGTTTACTTTCTCTGGGCCATTCTAACACATTCATTTTACTTTTTATCTTAGCCATTTCCAACAGCTTTGACTGTAAACTTAGGGCTGAACAGAGCACCTTCGTTCACATGTTTGCTGTGTTCCCCTTCATGGAAACAGCAAACAATACTTCTTCTGACCTGATGTCAATGGTGATTTAGCTCACTGCTGAAGCCATTTTCTTACTCTGGATTTTATGTAGGGGAATGTCTAAACCTTTCAGAAAATCCTATGCAAAAAATGTTCCTTTCACTTCATTTGTTCACTGCTTTGTGTTTTTCATAAACAACGCCAATAAAATTCATTGATGCTTGAATTGTGATATGACTAAATTTAAGCATTCATAAATTTAAATTTATGAATGCTTCCAAAAAACTGGGATAAATCTGAAAAAACTCAAATACCTTCATATAATTATTATTATTTTTCACAATTCACACTTGTGTTCCTTTTAAAGTAGATAATTTTTTATGGATTTTGAAGAAATCTGATGCTTTAGTCCTTCCCCATGTTGGTAATGGCAGTAATGCATGCAGTCGGCACTGCACAAAGAGCTCAGGGTCAATTACTCAGCAGTATTTCCGCCCTGCACAGCTCTGATGCAGCGAAGACTGTCTGCCAGCACAGAGGCTGCAGAGAATGCTCTCTCCTGCCATGCTGTCGGCCTGCAGCCTGACTTCAGTCTGATCATCACCGATCCTTGCGTTATTCCACCATGAAGAGAGATGAGCTTCAGTCACAGTTAGATCATTTTCTGGCAATCAAAACAGCATGTCAACGTCTGCCCATCTACCCTTCTTTCCAGCGAAGTCCTTTCACCTTGTGGATCAAGGAGAACGTCTCAAAAAAGGAATGCTCCTTTTTTCAGAGGGATCCCAGGTAGGATGAGTCACTACTCTTTAAACTGTGCTTGTAGATTTGATGCTTACTAATAATGAGAGGAAACTGATCTGACTGGAGTTAAATCTCATTTTGAGTCACTGATGTGTTTCCAATTAAAGAGCTATGAAATACCAACAACTATTTACAGAATTGTTTTGTTTTGTATTGTTAAAAGAAGCAACTAAAACTTTGATTTTTGTTTAAATTGTTTGATGCATTCTAAAAATTTCCAGTTCTGACAATCTTTTAATTTTACAGTCAAACATTTTAGATCTTAATTTATCTGATAGGACGGATGGAGAAAAGTGGCTTGATGAATGAGAAATTAGATTAGTTTATGTTATTCCCCCCAACATTTCTGAATCGCTGTGAGGATTGTAAAGAATACCAAGGCAGTACAATAACATCACTATCGTAGTGCATAACCCACATGTCTAAACTTCTTCCACCAACATAGAAATGTGACATCATGCAATTTGTGTTTTTTACATAGATGCAAAGAGCAACTATGTCATTGTGGATACTCAAAGAGTGACCACACTGATGAAGCCATCAAGCCAGAGGACTTCACCGGGGAAACCTGGGACAAAGCAAAACATATCCGCAAAGTTCCAACAGATGCTTTTGGAGACATCAGCTTTGGTGGTTTGGGGCAAAAGACAAGCAAGGTAAAATAATCCTATCCCCAACTCTAAACAGGGGGCGGGTGTTGTAGGCTTGATTTAAAAGAACTCTGTGTTTCAGCTGTTTTGCAGTTTTCTGGAATATTTTCTAAAGCATTTTTGTTATTTTCTCTTTTGAGTTGGTCTAAACCCTTTGGACCAAACAGTTTGATTGCCTGGTGTGTGAATGTTGCTAAATATTTCTCCCCTTAAACTTTTCCAGATTTTTTTCGTGTATTGTAATAGATTTTAAATGCCATCCATCCTTCCATACTGACACCAACTCTTACCAGCTTTAACTCTTTCAAATAAAAGCATCTCCACAGGATGATGCTGACACCCCTATGTTTTACAGAGGGCATTGATTGTTCAGAGTAATCTGCAGGTTTTTTTTTTTTTTTTTTTACATACAAAGTTCAAAACTGGAACCTTTGCATTCACATGTTTCTGTTATTTCTGTAAATCTGATGTATAAGTGATATCTCTATACATGGCTGTAGTTTGACAAAATTTTTTGAAAAACTCCATGTAGGAATATTTTTGTAATGCACTGTAAATGTATTCTACTTCTTCTCATGCCACTTCTTGTATGTTCATTGCCAGTATGTACGAGTGTCGGCAGACACCGAAGCTGAGGTGCTCTACGAGTTACTGACTCAACAATGGAAACTTTCGCCTCCAAATTTGCTCATATCTGTGACTGGAGGAGCCAAGAACTTGAACCTGAAGCCTCAACTGCAGAAGACTTTTCGCAGAGGGCTTATCAAAGTTGCCCAGACTACAGGTGAGACAGACAGAAAACTAGAGATAGGTGTGATGAATGTCAGCCAAAAACACACTCAGTGATACTTCATCCTCTGTAGGCGCATGGGTCATCACCGGCGGTACCCACTCTGGTGTGATGATGCATGTGGGACAGGCTGTGAGGGAGTACGCCCTGAGTAACACCATGCAGGGGCAAGTAGTGGCAATTGGAGTGGCAACATGGGGAGTAATTCACAACAGGGATAAATTGGTACATGAAGACGTAAGATGAACACACTCTTCACATTATGCTTGTGAATAGATTTGTGTTTCCTTCATACTTTTCATTGTGTTTGGCTGCAGGGCTGCTTCCCAGCTAATTATGTGATTGACACACAAGGTCAGGGTAATATGGCCTGTCTTGATAACAATCATACCCACTTCCTGCTGGTTGACGATGGGACCAATGGACACTATAATGTGGAGAATGAGCTGCGTGGAAAACTAGAGAAATACATCTCAGGCAAAAATCTTGGAAACAAAGGTTAAAAGAAGATTAATTCTTATTATTAAAATAAAATTTTAAAAAATCAAAAATAATTTTCTTTGACTACAAATAATGGTTTTATGTATTTTGCCATCCAGTGAGTTCTATGACCATCCCAGCCACACAAACCACAAAAATCCCAGTGGTTTGTGTGGCATTGGAAGGAGGATCGGGCACACTCGATGTGAGGCAGCATTTTCCTGAATCTTCTTTCCATCTTTGATAGTCCAGTAATCTAACCTTTCATTTGCGTCTCCTCCCAGACCATCTACAACGCCATGCGCAACGACACACCATGCGTGATCCTGGAGGGCTCTGGGAGAATAGCAGATGTTATTACTCAGGTGTTTGGAAAACCGGTCAGCCAGATCACCATCACTCTCATCCACAAGCTGATGAAGAAGTTTTTTGGTCAAGAGTACAAAACGTTCACAGAACAAAAGATTATAGAGTTTACAAAACAGGTTTGTGTACTGATGGTGCTCCAATACATAGTAGTACACCGAGGCGGTTTTGATATTTTGATATGGGTCATATGAGCAAGTTACCTGGGACGGCCTCTGAGGGTTTGTTAGAAAACCCTTCTAGTTTGACTTCTGAGTCAAACTTTCATAGAAGGGTTTGACTCAGGTTTGAAAGCTGAGTCAAACCCTTCTAGGCCTAAAAAATGGCAAAGGCAGCAAAACAATGCCCACAAAAAATGTAAGAACCATACAGGATCCCAAAGTTGCAGAGCTCTGAATTATTTTTTTTTTTTATATGTACTTCAAATGTTTTTTTTTTTTACATTTTCACAGAAAGAGATCATTTAAACTTTTCTCAACCATCAGCAAGAGCGAGAGCATGTTTCCCCCCTGTTCTAAATCACCCAGCAAGATATACAGCAAGATGCTGCATATCTTCTATAAATTTGTTGTTGGGAGTATCATCTTGTCTACTGTCACCTGTTGGATCAGCAGCATCAGAACCAGGGTCCTTAAAAGTCTCAACAACTTGATAAAAACAGCTGGTACTGTTCTATGGGTGACTTAGGGAGCAAAGAAGAATTTTATATGAAATCAAGAAAATTATGGACATCCACGGCCATCCTCCTTATGTGACTGTCATTGAAAAACAGTGTGTCTTCAGTAAGAGGCTTCTTCAAATTTGTTGTAACACAGACAGCTACAGGAAATCTTTCCTGCCCATAGCCATCACCGTCTACAATCACCATTCAATGAAATGAGTCACAATAACATTAATTAAACTATGAAGTAGTTTGAATTGAATTGAATTGAATTGAACTGAAATGTGCCTTTATTTAACTCAAAAAATGTTAATAAACCTCTCAGAACCTCATGTCACAAGTTTACAAAACTGTTCAAAGGCATGGTAAATTTAATATATTTAAACTTCCAAATTTGAAGAAAATACTAGCAAATAGAAATAATTTTGCTCTTATTACCTGACCTAAAACTGGAGAAATGTAATTTGATGTGCGTCAGTAAATCTTCTCTTAAGTCACGTTTCAATATTTGTTTTTTTTTTTATCTATCTGACGTAAACCTCCTCAAACAGCACTCTGGGTCTAGTCATGTGTTTGCTCTGTTTCCAGATTCAGGACATCATCAGAATGTCTCATTTGCTGACAATATTCAAAGCAAGCAAGGACGATCAGGGGGGAGTGGATTTGGATGTGGCCATCCTTCAAGCTCTACTCAAAGGTAAGGTAGCAACAACTCCTTGCAAAAGACTGTTATTTAAAAATCCTACAACACTTTTCCTCTTTCTGGCTTTCTACAATTTCAAATTACAGTGTATTTCATTGTTATTTTATGAAACTGGACAACACAAAGTAGATGGAATGAAATTGACACATGATTTTTACTTTTATTCTAATTCTCCAAGATAAAATCCACTGCAATCAGTCCCTTGTATATATACTTTAGACTCACTATAAATCCAGGTGCTGTGTCAAGGTCTCAAACATTTATTAGAAAACCTTAGAAAACAAACAGCATCAAAAACACCAAGGTAAAATTGTTCATACTGGAAAGAGCATGGCACAACGGCAAATCTACAAAGACATGGCCAGACTGATAGGCAAGGGGAACATAATTTGAGAAACAGCTCATTGTAACTTTGGAGAAGCTGCAGAGATTCATACCTGAGATAAGAGTACTTGCAGACAGGACAACTTGAAATGTATACACTTGAAAAATCTGGCTTTTATGGAAGAGTTTGTTGAATTGTTTAAATAAAACCATACGACCAACATGGCAAATAACACCAAAATTATTATTTTTTTTGGCAGAAATTAAAATTAACAGTAGAAGAGGTGGAAAATCAATACCATTGATATGTTCACAATGGTGCCAGCATCATGCCATGGACGGGAATGCTTTTCTTCAGCAGGAGCAGAGAAGCTGGTCACATGGAACTAAACACAGATCAGTCCTGACAGAAAACCTGTTGGAGGTTGCAAAAGACATGAGACTGGGGTAGAGGTTAACCTTCCTGTGGAACAACCCTAACCCTACAGTCAGAGCTTCAATGGCAGTGTTTAGATCAAAGCATATTCCTGTATTGGAATGGTCCAGTCAAAGTCCACCTAAATCCAATTCGGAATCTGTGAGAAGACTCAGAAATGAATGTTCTCTCACGTAAGACCATAACTCCTGTAACATAAAATCATATTAATCTTAATATACTGTTGTTTCTTGTTATAATGTGAATGAAGTGTGTGAACTTTTGGAATACTTTGGAAGATACTGTGTAAATGTCTGAATGGGCTGAGTGCAGTCCAGAACCACAACACAGCAACGAGCTTGAAGGGGAGAAGACTTAATGCAATACACTTCTCACAAAGAGGATTATGTTACTTCTCAGAATACGCTGTCACAAAGTATCAAATGTGAAGTGATTGAAGACCAGGAAGGATCCTTCTGACATTAGTGAACATTGGCTATGTGGAAAGATTTATGCCGATGTCTTTAGAAACATGCAATGCTTCCTCCTGGGCCTCACCAACATCCCTTCAGTGCAAGGTTAATGCATGTTGTGTAGAAGACGCTCCATGCGCTAAAACAGTGTGAGTCCACATCACTGAACACTCCATTAATGCTTGTATTATGATGATTCATCTAATTGTCTGAAATGCTTTCCCTCAAGTTTCCATCAATTAGTTTTCTTCTGTGTTTGCATGTCATCAGGAAACAATCCGTCATAATCAGCTACTTTTGGACATCTGCTGTCTTCTTGTCTAACACAAACTTTAGTCTATGAGTTTTCCTGTCTTTTCAACAAAAGCTACTGCTTCTTAAACGGTTTACCATAGGGGTTATTTGCCTTAAATAAAAGTGAATAAGTGTGTGTGCAACAGATATCCTGGCGACATTTACCTGTCAGTGTGTATTCTACCTTCAGCTTCAAAGACCATTGAATCACAACGAGGTGAGTCCTGGAAGAGGCAGCTGAAGTTGGCTATCGCCTGGAATCGAGTGGACTTAGCTAAGACTGAAATTTTCACTGAGCAACGCATGTGGAAGGTGAGTTTCATTCAGACCACTACGCCGGCTGAAAAACGGATGTAGATTTAAACTTTATTTAAAATTATTCCACCAATAATTATTTAAGGCACTGTTCTAATTTTAGAAAAGCAGGTCAGTATGGAGTCAAAACAAACAGATCAGCAGCAATGTGGCTTTAAACACTATAGATTGTAAAATCTTTATTAAACATTTTTTTTTTAATTTAGGATTCAAGTAGTAGCACATACCTGATTAATGCAACTAAATAATGAAAAGTCAGATTTGTTGGAGATCCCACGAAACCATCTGAAACTCTGAGGTTAAATTCCTACTTAAAATTAAACTCCAGTCTAAAGTGAGGTGTACATCTGATTTTTCTTAAAAAAAATATAACAGATAATGGATGCAATGAATGCTTCTTCAATTTATATATTTCAGATACGTTGGGTTTTTAAATTGTCTCTTTTTTTTGATATATGACTCTTTGTTGCCAACATCTTCCTTTCTTTCTTTAGTCCAGCGAACTCCACGAGTTCATGACTTCAGCCCTGGTTGGCAACAAGCCTGAGTTTGTGAATCTTCTCCTGGAGAACGGTGTGTGTCTGAGGGACTATCTGAAGAATGACGACACCCTTTGTGGGCTCTACAAACAGCTGCCCAACTGCTTCTTCTTGTACAAGTTGGCCAAGAGGGTGAAACTTGCCGACAGCAGCAACAGGAGGCAGGCACTGGGCCAAAGGGTTCGTGTTCCAGCAGGAGTAAACATCTCACTGACTCATGTCTCTGATGAAGTGCGCCACCTGCTGGGAAGATTCACACAGGACATCTATCCTCCATCCGACATGATATACCAACTTGACATGTCCACAGAGGACATCTCATCATCTGTGAGTATGTTTTCTTTAGAACTTTATTCAGTGTATGATAATAGTTTTTTTTTTTTTTTTAATGAGCAGTCTCAAATCTACAAGCACCTCTGCTGACCTCTGCTGTTAATACCTTGTACAACCCTTTTCCACTTGGTCTTCCCCTTTAACATTTCAAGCAGTGATTGAATACAAGGAAATTTTAGATCATTAATTTTTGTGCACGTTCTCTACATCTTCTAGATGTTTTCATCCTTTCTTATGCTCTTTTCTATTTAGCCCACAGTTTATTCACATTTCAGATCGGATTCTTTAGTTATGTTCTAAACCACCTATATTGAATTTCCACACATTCAAGAACCAGGTTTCATTAAAAAAAATTAGAGGTCTTCAGAGATGTGTGTGCCAAGGAATTTCAGGCTTTTCACTTTGTATACAGAGCCTTCCTCTTTTGTGACTAGTCTTATGAGAATAACTTTTTCTGTGAATTTAGAAACAGCGTAGTGACACATAACACAATAATGGGCTTACAGACAGTAGAGGCCTGGGCTTAACTCACATTCTTATAAAGCTCCTATGCTTAGCATCAGCATGGAATGATGTGGGACCATTCTAATGGACTGTGGCCTTTACACTGGTGCCAGGGATTTTTATTATCCACAAGCAGATGTATGTTACACAACATTTAGAGACAGACTGCTAATCAAGATGTTATTGAATGCAGAGCTGCAGTCCACAAGCAGCAACCTGGCATAAGTGTTCTTCTACGCCACGAGGCACTTTGTCAGGTGAAGCATTTTTCTTCTGATTTCAACATATGCTTTGGAGAACTATGATGAAAGGCGTAAAGATTTATGGGAAACAGTAAGTCATTTATTTCTCAAAAGATGGAGATTAATAAATGTGAAAAATGTTTCTCATAAATACAATAATTTTTAATTGTAAAAGTACATTTATTTATTTATTTATTTATTTATTTATTTATTTATTTATTTATTTATTTATTTATTTATTTATCCAGAATGAAAATAAAAAGGTTCAGTGTATCTAGAAAGCACTCTGCCTTGGATTCCAAACCGTATTAAATTTACTTTTTACTTCAAAATTTTACTCACAAATAACGCCATTGTGATAATGTGGAAAAAAGTTTTTGATACTTTTGCAAATGTATTAAAAATGGCAAACCAAGAAATCACATGGATTTATTTAATACTTTGTTGATCCACCTTTGGCAACAATTACAGCCTGAAGTCTTTTGAGTATGATGCCACAAGCAGTTTCACCCATTCTTCAAGAGATCTTGGCCTTTTCCTGCTGTCAAATGGACAATCTGCCCGTTCCTGTTGCTGTAAAGCATTCCCACAGCATGATGGTGTCACCACCATGCTTCACTGTAGGGATGGTACTGACCTGGTCATGAGCGATGCCTCGTTTCCTTCAAACACGACACCTGGCATTTGCCTCTTGTTCCTGGGATGTGATTGGATTAATTCCTGTTCAAAATGTAATTAACAGGCATTAATTCACTGACTCCTCCATGACTGGCAGCCTAATTGAGACTGTACCTAACAAGTTAACCCAAAATCCCAATTGCTGACATTTTTCTCCAGGTATCTAAAGATCAGGACCTGTTAAGACAGAACAGAGCTGAAGCCCAGAGGGATCCAGGCAGGGACCTTTTCCTTTGGGCAATTATCCAGAGCAACAAGCATCTCTCTGAAATCGCCTGGGATCAGGTGATTAAAAACTCCTGCACATGTAAAATGAGAGGGTCTTCAAAGTGGTTTCTGTGTGTAGCTGTATTTCTCTGTGTGCACGCAGTGTAGAGACTGCATATCTGCTGCTCTGGCTGCCAGTAAGATCCTGAAGAAAATGGCTGAGGAGTCAATTGATGCAGACGAGCCTCAGGAAATGCTGGAGCTCGCCAGTCACTTTGAAGATCGTGCGATTGGTATGAGACAGAGGTAAAGAGAACATTTACAGACTGAGGTGGAATTTATTGACCTGCATGTGTGTCCTTAGGTGTGTTCAGCAAGTGCTACAACAGTGATGAGGTGCGCGCCCAGAAGCTGCTGGTTCGAATCTCACGCTTATGGGGCAAGACGACGTGTCTGAGGCTGGCGCTTGAGGCCAATGATAAAAACTTTGTGGCTCAGTCAGGTGTTCAGGTGAAGCAGATTTTTATTTAGATTGTATAAATTAATACATTAAACTGTGCGGTCAGATCACAGACCAAATTTTAACCTTCTTCTATATGGTACTGCATATTTAATAACGTAAAGTTAAAAATTCAACATCTTGAATGCAGACCAAAACAGTGGTGTTCAAAAGTCTTGCTATCCCTCATTTCTGTTTTCTCCAGTCTTAAAGATTACTATAAGCGATTCAAAGACAGTCTGTTTTCTTGTACCAGAGTAATTCATCAAAAATCTTGATAAGACTCTTGTGCTTTAGGCTCTTCTTACTCAGATCTGGTGTGGTGAGCTTTCAGTTGAAAATCCTGTGTGGAGGGTGCTGGTCTGCATGGTCTTCTTCCCTCTGATCTACACAAGATTTGTGGTTTTCAGGTGAGATATTAATGGGAGTAAGTTCATAAAAGACAACCTCATAAGTTGTAAAGCCTCACATTTCCAAAGTTATTTTCCACGATCTTATCTGTTGTTCCTTTTTAGACGTGATGAACTCATCCAGAGAGAAACTGAGAAGAACGAGGAAATAAAGACTGTGGAGAAAGTGACAGGAAGCATTATGATGATAAATGTTCATCGCTCGTAAGAGGACAATCTTTCTTTGATTCATTTAATGACTCATACAACATTTGCTGATAGCTTTAATCAGAGTTCTGTTGATAATCGATTTTTGCACACAAATCTGTTTCTGCCCACAGAAAGCTGAATGTGGAGCCTCTGGGCTGCTGGTCCAGACTGGTTGGACTGTACTGCTCTCCTCGAGTCAAGTTTTATGGTAACATTGTCTCGTACTTCGCCTTCTTGTTCCTGTTTGCTTACGTCCTGATGATCGACTTCCAGAGAACTCCATCTATAGCAGAGCAGGTGCTCTACATCTGGTTGTTCACTCTGGTGTGTGAGGAGATCAGACAGGTGAGATGCTGCAGATATAGTGGCTTCCAGACTTAAATGTACCCCTAAAGATGTGTAAAAACTTTAAAAATGGGTTTCCTCTTGGTGGAAAGTCCCTGGGACACCTCACCATGGAGAAATCCAATAGGCCTCCTAACCAGAGTCCAGGCCACTTCAACTGGCTCCTCTCAATGTGGAAGAGCAGCGGCTCTGATTTCTGAAAAATCAGGAAAAAAAAAAGATTTTTGCCACATGTACCTGCGATCTTGTTCTTTTGGTCGACCCAAAGCCCATAAAAAAAGGTAAAAATGTAGATTTCAGCACAGCTCTCTCTTCACCATGACGGAGTGCATCACTACAGACACAGCACCAATCTGCCTATCAATCTACCCTCGCTGTTTTTTCTACGGTCATGAACAAAACCCCGAGATAATCCTTCTCCTGAGGCAGGACCTCTTTCCCTACCCAAAGAAGGCACTCTCCTCTTTTCTGGTTTATGACCATGGTCTTGGATATGGAGGCAGTGATCCTCATCCCAGCCTCTTCACACCTAGCTGTAGACAATCTCCAGTGAAAGCTGCAGATCACAACTTGATGAAGCTAATACGACCATATCATCTGCAGAAAGCAGAAACCTGATCGTAAGGCCACCAAGTTGGATCCCCTCAGCACTTTGGCTGCATCCCAAAATTCTGTCCATAAAGGTTATGAACAGAATTGGTGGCAACTATGGCCTTTGTCAAACTCTGACAAGCTCTGACACCAGTTGTAACCTAATGGCTACAATGGCTCGTTTTGACTCTCGCGTTACCCTCCACAGGATTTGGTCAAATGCCTTCTCCACAAAACACATGTAGACTGGTTTGGTGAACTCCCATGCACCCTCCAGAATCATTGCTGAGAGTGTAGAGCTGGTCCAGTGTTACATGGCCATGACATAAACCACGCTGTTTCTCCTGAATCAATGATATTGTTAGCTATCTGATGGGCTCTCTTCTCTAGAACCCCGAAATAATTCCCAACTCCTTTCCAGAACCTCCACTGCAACAATGCAAATTTGTGGCTTTCTGTATCCTTTTATGTAGATATGACATGCTGATCCCTCTTCAAAACATAAAATCTAGGAGAATGAGTAGCTTCATCATATTTTATTTTTAACTGTTTCAACATTTAAAGCTGTCCAGATAAGAGATCAAATATAATAATCTTATTTAGAATAAATATATAATGACAGACAATAAAATCCTGACATCTCAGTTTAAATCTCTGTTTTCTGTTTCAGCTGTTTTATGATCCTGATGGTTTTGGATTTCGTAAGAAAGCCAAGAGGTACATTCATGAGATGTGGAACATTTTGGACGTCATCTCCATCCTGCTGTTCTGTCTAGGAATTGCATTCAGGTACCTTCTCTCGCTATCAGAGGGACATGGAAAGTCTTTCAAGCTATTCAGTAATCTGTGACTCACTAACTTTTCATTTTATTTTTATTTTTTTTTTTACCTCAGGCTGACAACTCAGTTGTTTTACCCAGGTAAAGTTATCCTGTGCATTGACTTTGTGGTCTTCTGCCTCCGTCTCATGGCAATCTTCACGATCAGTCGCATACTGGGACCTAAGATCATCATAGTCAGGAAGATGGTGAGGAGTTTGCTTAAATTTTAAATGGTGAACCTGATAAAATGTGGAGACAACAGTACAGTACTGATCCTCCTGACACTTACGCACCTCTAGTCCTTAAAATAGTCTTTGAAGACACAATTTTGACAGCAGGGTGCACAGTCCTGAAAGATAGGACTTTTTAAAAATCTTGTTAATAGTGGCCTAAAGCTGTAGATATATATTCTTAGATTATTAAAAATGGACCAAAAATAAACTGTAATTTAAGCCATTGTGGATTTTAAATGAGGGCTGCACAGCGGCGCAGATGGTAGCACTATGCAGCAAGAAGGTGATGGGTTCAAATCCCGGCCTGGCACCCCTTGCAACTGTGTAAAGATAATAGATGGATGGAATTCAAATGAGAAATGTGTGCGCATCCCGTCTCAGTATTAAATACAAAACTATTCTCTCTTTACTACTAAAAACTTATCATCTGGTGTCTACTTTAGTTAGTTTCATCCAAGTCGTTCATGATATTGATGCAGAGAGTGTCTGTCAAATTAATTTCAATTAAGTCCTGCATTTCTGTTTCTTTTTCTGAGAATAAATTGGATTATTAACATGTCTGTAATGGCAGCTAATCTTTTTGTGCTCTAACTGATCTAATTTTGTGCTGCAGATGAGGGATATGTTCTTCTTCATGTTTCTCCTGAGCATCTGGGTCGTGGCGTACGGTGTGGCCAAACAAGGCATCCTCATCGAAAATGACAATCGACTGGACTGGATCATGCGCGGGGCTATTTACGAGCCGTACCTCATTATATTTGGAAATTTCCCTGAAAATATTGACAGTGAGTAGAGAAGTGTTCTGTGCAGTTTTATTATGTTTGGAAAAATACAATATGAGGCAATGTGAGACATGTTTTCTTGTTGATACAGTGTTTTCTAGTTTTTGTTTTGTCTCCTGCAGATGCTAAGTTTGATATAAAGTCATGCAGCATGAATGGTACGGATCCCCTGAAGCCCAAGTGTCCTAAGCTGAATAAAAGCCAAATGCCGGTCTTCCCTGAGTGGCTCACCATCGTCATGCTCTGTGTTTACTTGCTGTTTGCCAACATATTGCTCCTCAACCTCCTCATAGCCATCTTTAAGTGAGTCCTTAGCGACACACCTTCGTTCAAATTTGGTTTCCAACATAATGAATATGTTAATCTTCCACCTGCACAGCTACACGTTTGAAGAGGTCCATGACAACACGGACAAGATCTGGAAGTTTCAAAGATACGAGCTGATCAAGGAGTACTACAGCCGCCCAGCTGCCCCACCTCCTTTCATCATCTTCAGTCATCTCTACCTCTTCATCAGAAAAATGGTGCTGTTCAAGGCTCCGACCCCATCTACTGAGTTCAGTAAGGCCACAATCCCTTACTGATAGTTTACAAGAGGTATTCTCAGGGCCACTTCTTTCAATGATCATCTCCCTCTCCTGTGTTGTAGATGATTATCCATATTTAGTTCCAAGAATACATCCTTTCTCATAATCATTTGTAGTTATTTCTATTTTACTAAAAGTAAACTGATCAGAGATTTGCATTTTTAGTTGTTTTTTTTTTTTTTTTGCAAAGGTTTGACTTGCCGATTCCACATTCAATCAGATTTACAGTATGTGTTCCTGTCAATTGCATTTTCAAACAAACATAAACGTATTATTATTTACAACCAATCATGCGGCACTGTCTATTGTTTGAGTGCGTCACACAGTGCTGTCTGTTTACATCATATATACTCCAATGGTATTTAAATTACACCAATGCAGACAGTGACATGAAGAAGTCCAAGTGTGTTTTGTATGGAGGTCTGTGGAACCTTATGACTGAGACCAAACTGAAGTGATGGTGACGGTGATACAAATCACACCACACTTTTTTTTTTCCAGAGAAGCAGCTTAATCCAATAGAAGAAGAGGAGCTATTATCCTGGGAAGCCTTGATGAAGGACAGATACCTGCTATCTGCGCGGCAGGAGAAGAGCCAGAGCATGGAGAGATGCATTCCGGATACATCTCAAAAGTAAAATCCTGCAGAAAGTTATTCTCTGCTATCTTTTTTTTTTCTACTCAGATCCGGCTATTATATGGCTAATATCTCTACTAAATACCTTTGTGCAAGCTAGAATCTTTACTGAAATAGGGGATTTTATATTGCAAATTGTTACGTATAAGTTTCTCTTTTTTGAATAATTTGTGCCTCATTTAAGATTTTCTAGCTCAGACTTTTAACCTGTTGGTCTCAGGTTGTCATTCACAATGACAGGGGTGTCAAACTCCAGTCCTCTGCTGTCCTGCAGTGTTTAGATGTGCCACAGGTAAAAAAAAACAGTGGAATGAAATGGCTTAATTACCTCCTCCCTGTGTAGATCGGTTCTCCTGAGCCTTGCTAATGACCTAATTATTCTTTTCAGGTGTGGTGCAGCAGAGGCACATCTAAAAGTTGCAGGACAGCGGCCCTTGAGGACTGGAGTTTGACACCCCTGTACACTAGAGGACCCAAATTTGGGTCCTCTAGTGACAGACAGGTTAAAATCATCATTGAGTTAAACTCACATTGAAGCTTAAACCCAATAGTATTGAGCATCCATCCATCCATCCATCCATCCATCCATCCATCCATCCATCCATCCATCCATCCATCCATCCATCCATCCATCCATCCATCCATCCATCCATCATTTCACACACTTATCCTTAATGGGGTTGCAACCTAGTGAGGTCATGTCCTTCACATTCGTCTCAGTGCACTACAGAGACAACCATGAACATACACACACTTAAGAAGAATTTAGAGAGAGTCATGTTTTTTGGACTCTGGGAGGAAGCTGGAGTACCCAGAGAAAACCCACACATGCACAGGGAGAAAATGCAAACTCCATGCAGAAAGACCCCAGGCTCGGATTTGAACCCAGAACCTTCTTGCTGCAAGGCAACAGTGCTACCAGTGCAGTCCTCAATATTTTTGTATATTTGATCATTCAAACTCATTTGTCAAGAATTTAGCTTTCGACTCATAATTTTTGTTTTATCTATATGGATAATGTGTTCTGTTGTATAAATTGTAAGTAAATGACATTTCATATGTCATTTATTTATAATGACATAAAAAATGTGAACATTGATTTTTTTTTTTATTATTAATCAGGTAACCTAAATCTCAGTCACTCATGTTACTTTTGCTTGTTTCCTGAGGGTTACCACCTTAACTGAACGGATGGAGAAACTAGAGGAACAGGTTATGAACTGATTTAATGACTCCTTTAATCTAAATCACTGTATAAATGATGTTTTATTCCACCCCTTCTCCATCACTGCCTGTGCAGCTTGTTAATTTGCTGGTTACTTTGTGTCTTCAGGTCACCCAGTCAAACAAATCACTGCAGAGGATTGAGGACATTCTGAAATCTCTGGTTGCTCCTGCAAAAGAAACTCAGCCACAGAGTACAAACCATTAAACCCTCCTCAGTCACACTGTTACATTCACAGTAACCTTTCTGTTCATACAGAGTTGTGTAATTGTTTTACTTGTTTACTGTTTTTCTTGTCGACTCTCTCCTGCAGCCTCAACTATGCCAGATGAATCCTCCAACTCTTTGAGGACAGCAGAAGAAGAAGATGGCTTCCACGTGAAGTCCCATCAGCTTCAATTCCCGGACAGCAAAATCAAACGCTTCCCTGTTCCAGAGGAAAAAGTACCATGGGAGGTACTTCACAAACAGTGCTGTGCAAAAGTTTACCCTCGAATATTTCCACATCTTGTTAAGTTACACAGTGGTGCATAATTATCAAGAGGAGGGAAAATTATTCCCAATTTTCAGAATTTTTTGCAAAAGAGGATCTGAAAAGTGTGAAACGCATTGGTATTGCATTAAGTTCTGTGTTTGTCATTTTTGTTTGTGGAGAACCAAATTACAGGCAGGAGGGAGTCTCATTACAACACAAGTATTTAAAAATAAAAGGAGGCGAGAGGAATTGATGAAATGCATATTGCTTAATAAGACTAGTGAATGGTGCCACTGTTTATAGAGAGAAAGCTCTGTCCCCAGGGAGGAGTGGACAGAGTCCAGCGTGTTGTTCTGTGTGGTGAGGAGGAGGCAGTGGAGCACTGGAGGGTGGACAGGTTGGGTTGGTTAAAAGCTGTGTGGTTCGAGATCATAGATGTATTCTGTGAGGTTCTTGTACAAGGAGGCTTTAATAGGCAATCTAGAGAACTATTCATCAAGTAACTAGAGAGGAAACCGCATGGGCTGACACTCTGGTGCAGAATGACCGACAGCCGGCTCCTCTTAAGCTCCTGGTGATGAGCAGATTAGGAACAGGCATGCAGGTGAAAGTAAACGCACAACACACTTTTATCATTTTATTTGTTAAAAATGTTAGGAACACATAACTTCTTGTAGGTTTACTGAACATATTTGAATGAAGTGCATTGGTTTTTGTTGCAATTAACAAAATGTGGAAAGTTTCAAGGGTTTCCAAGATGCCACAAATGAAGAGCTATTTGCTTTCAAAATCACACTACAGAAAATGTGTTCAAGAAAAATGGATTTGGATGTTTGTTTGCTCTTTTTGGCAGGTCAGTTTCAGCTCATACATGCCGACCTATTACAGTTCTGAAGATGGAAATGGCCGTGCAGAAGGGTATGTTTTGATAATGAGACAACCCTTTACTGACCCAACCTCTTTGACCTGCTTTGCATAATCCTTTTTATCTGTACTTTTTCCCGTTAATCATAGATCTGGACCAGAAGACTTAGATAATTACAGGTGGGTTGAAACATAAAGAATGACTGATGTTCAGACCTTAGGAGATCATCTTGATGTCTGTTATGGATCCTGTCATCATTAGAAACCCAGGAGGCAGGACGGGCATCGGGGGAAGAGGCACACTCAGCCGTCTAGGTCCAAATTTGAACCTGGATCTTGTGGTTACACGGTAGGTCATCTGATATCCTGGCATGGGTTTCAAATGTTTGTCTCTCAGATCTAAAGAACTTGAAATTGGATTTTTCAGGTGGCGAGACAGTGCGAGGTCTGAGCTGGAGTTCCTGGCTGTTTTGAACCAGAACCAAAGATCTTTAGCTTTGCCTGGGGTGAGTGGTTATTGGTTCACTTTTTGTTTTGTTTTGGGTTTTAGTGAGCTACATTTGTTGTTCTTCTGTACCTTCAGGGTCCTGTTGACTCTCTGGATCACCTGCCAGGAAATCTAAAGGGAATTCTGGGAAAGAAGCTGTTTGAAGCCCTGGATGCAAAAGTGTCAGAGGGAGTAAAGGTCAGTTTGGCTTTTTAGTATTTTATCTTCAGTTTCATTCAGAAATATTGCTTTTTATGAATGGAATTGTGATGTGCTTTCTACATGTAAATTTCGTGTTTTTGTATAATCTATCATTTCATAAATGGTTATTCATTGGGTAGCAGTATCGTATCTCATATTTTAGCACCAGACATTAAGCAGAAACACATTAAGTTACTATTTCTGTAGCTACCAATGACAAACACTCTCAAAGTAGTATAGGAACTTACTGACAAAAAGATTGTTTACAGTTTATAGTGCCATGCAAAAAATATTGATACCCTTTAAACTTTTTTCACATTAGTCACAATTACAAACCTCAGTGTTTCTATTTACTGTTTTATGTAATTTAAACAGTATAAAAAGAATAATTGTGAAGTGGATATAAGGTAATATATGTTTGTCAATATAGAATCACAGATTTGTATTTTGCATAATTTCTCTTCAAAAAAAATATTCAAAATTCAAAGAACCATTTTGCCCTCAGTCCCACTAATAAAATTTGCATAAAGCTGCAAAAATTGCATAACCTTTTAAAAAAATGACAGCTTATATTTCTGAGAAATAAATAACATAGGAAATGGTTGTCATTTTTTAAAGAACCATAATTTAATTTCTACGTTCAGCTTTAAAATAAGCATATAACCTTTAATATAAATTATATAAATGATTTTCCAAAAACTTATTAGAAGCCAACTAACTTGTTTGCTTGTGATCTCTGTAAAATTATCTGTTGTTTATTTGCTTACATCTTGCTATTTTAGTTTATTATTTGTGTGTTCATCTATTCTCTTTGTTTGTGCTTTAGTTTGTTTTCTTAGATTCATATTTCATTTCTGTTTATTGTTTTAGTTTAGTCTCCAATTCAGTTTTTTGATCTTTCTGTTTATCTTTCACTTTCCCTTTGGTTTCCAGTTTTTGCGCTCTCTATCTTCTCATCTCACCATTGCCTGCTCTCTCTCAGCTGCTTCCACTTCTCCCTGAGCTCCTCTGGTTCCCCTGTCATTTCGGCTCCTTCTTCAGAATGTATGTTGGCTATTCTCATTGTTTTTCACTAGTTCCTCCCGTTATGCTGCCTGTTTCCTGGTCCTCACTCCATGTTTTGTTGTCCAGAAGTCTATTGTGTCTAAGTTCTCTTTTGTTCACTTCTTCATTAAAAGCCATTTTCGTCAGCAGGTTCTTTGTGTGTGGGTCCTCGATTCTACGCTGAGCATGACAAAACCAGTCGGTTCCCGGCTGTAACAAGACTTTTATGAATCCATGTTCCTTCACCGTTTATTCTGAGTTTTGTTTGTGAATAATGTTTATTTGCTGAGTTGAGTAATGATGAAGTTTTTCTTGATCTACTCTGGATTGTGATTCAGGTGTCTGAGGGCTATGTGGACGACTGCAGGAACACAGACAATGCCTGGGTGGAAACAACTGTCCTAAACATTCACCTGGACATAGCAAGCCAAGTGATGGTGGACATTAACAACATGGTGGGAAGGATTTTACTTTTCTTTTTCATAAAATACATACAGTTTGATAAGTTTAGGAGATGCTTGACCTGTTGTCATCCATAGGTTATAAGCGGCGACAGCTGCCTCCAGTGGCAGGAGGTGAGCAGCAGAATCAGACTCAGCCCGAACCAAAGACGCTCGCTGCAGCAGGTGGCGGAGCTGCACAACACGAAGTTCTGATCATTCTGGCCCTGTTTGACATTGTTATATTCATATTGCATTAAGAAAACTTATCTTGAGGCCTGGCACATAGAAGACAATCCGTGAATCACCTTGTGCCTTTCAGTGTCGCCTTTGTTGTGATTCATTTGAAGAAAATATGCAGCAAATCCTTACCTGAACTTCTGTTCTTTCTCTTCACTGCAGTTTATATTGCTAACACTTCCTATCATTCCCAAACAAGTTCATGTTGCTATAATACAACTAACAGTTCATTATGGGAATTTAGTTTAGTTGTTCCACAATGTTTGTAGAAACAGCACTCTATATATCTAATGTGCTTGATGTGATACACCTTTGACCATAAATGTGAATGAAAACATCAATATTCAATGATTAGGATGGTTGAGAAAATACTGCAGTCAATAAACAAATATACCACAGTAATAATGTGTCTATGTAGCAAATACCATTACAGTATTTATGGATGACTTTTATAACAACGTGTTGCACTACTATCAATTCATCGACTTGAATAAACTTCAAATCTTCGTCATACCTTTTATTCCAAGAATCCAATAAAATGACCGAAAGGCTCTTTTTTTTCTTGCTGTTTAACTTTTAAACACCTAGTTACCTATTAGTCGGGTGTGATTTTTACTGTGTTTAGCATGCAGGAACAACTCCGAGAACTCATTACTTCAGGTCAGTGAATATTCAGCTCCTGCTCTGCTGCAGCTTGGTTTCGGAGCAGCTTCCGCCGCTTCTGATTGGTTGAGGGGGAGGTGGCCAGACACATGCTGTAGTATCGGTTTCACGCCCTCCTCATAATCTGTACCGCTGGTTTCATCAAATTCCGGTCCTTGTTGTAACTTATGTGTTCAGTGTAAAAACAGACATGTTAGCATTGTATAAAAGCTGCACACGCAACAGCCAGTGACTTTAATTTACTGAGTTTAAATCACGTTTTTGTGTTATTGTAATGTTAATGTAATGCTATCTATAGTTTGTACATAGACATAATAAAAAAATACGATTGGTAGATGTTAACTTTGTTCTGATTTTTGTGTCATAAATATTGTTTGTCCTACAAGTACAGACGGCGCAGACAAGCTATTTTTAACCACAGCGGCAGAGATAAGAAAAGAAGAAGACGTCACACTCCACTTTTATTTTGTGACATTACACCAATTATTGCATTCAAAAGACCGCTTTGCTCATAATAATACAGCCACTTCAATCCGTATCGACATCCTGGGATAAAACAGAAAAGAAAAGATAGCTAGATTTGGAACCACAAACAAAACTTTAATTTGAGATCTAAACCCCTGTTGTTGACAATACAAGATACTTAAGAAATGACAGAGCTTAACAGTGTTTTATATAACATTTTTCTTTACAAATAAAACAGGTTGGTATGCATTTGTATTTTCCCCCCTTTATTTTATTGTAACATATAGTAAACCAGTATACTCCAGTATACCTGTATAAATCCAGATGTTCTGTGATGTCTTACAGGGTTGTTTGAGAACATTAATGAACAAAATGCATCAAGTAGATCAAGGAACACAGCAAATATGTTAGGAATAATATTGTGAAGAAGTCTAAAGCAGGGCTTTGAGCATCTGATGGACCATGGTTCAATATATCAACTTTTAATCAAAAGAACTACAAACCTACCAATACATGGCCCTCATAAACTGGCTTAGCAGAAAACATTAAAAAGTAGTCAAGAGGTCCATCTAAACTCTAGAAGATTCAGAGATCCACAGCTTAGATAATGTAAGCTATGCATTTATACTGTGCACTCCACAATTATTTTCTATTGGAAAGATAGATGAAAGCAATCTATGAAAATATAAACAAGCCATTTCAGAACACAGGAAAAGTGTGAAAGGAGGGGGTCTGGTCAAATGGAAGAAAACATATATTTTTTTCAACAACATGGAAAATGCTATGTGTGAAGAAAAACAAGCCAGTCATGTCTCTGTGAGCATGGTAGTGACATTATAATACTGTTAAGTTGTTTTTGTCCAGCAGGGTTCCAGGGAAGCTAGTCAATTAATAGGAAGACAGCAGTAATAAACACAAGGGGAAACTATCAGAGGCTACAAAGGACGTCAGACAGGGGAGGTTCACACTCTAGCAAGACAATGACCCCAAACAACTACAAAGGAATAATTTAGATCAAAAAGTTCAGTTCATTTTTAGTTTTAATTTTACGACGTGTATTATTTTCTCTCTATGTCAAATTTATTTACTAATTTGTGCTGGTTTAGTAAACATTGCAATGAATCCCATTGGATGTAACTTGACAACAAAACCTAAAGAGGCGTAATGAATAGTTTCGCGAAGCATTGCAATGACAGATTTTCCTCTTTCTTTGACCGTAAACCCGTTGTCAGTCCAGAATAGACGATCTTTGCCACTGTTTACAGGTGACAGTGTCAGGAAGTGACGCAGCACGCTCGTGAGACCGTACCATTCTAGTAGCTGGATAGATGGACGGTGGGTCAGCGGCGGACCGACGTCTCATTCAGAGGAGAGAAACGGTAACTATCTTATATTAATGTCGCTGTTTATCGAGAGTTTGAGCCTCAGTGAGAAGTTACAGACCTGCGTGGTGTTTCGAGGTGTTGGTGGAAACATCTCGGTTCGGTGCTGGGATGGAGCTGAAGCTGCTGACCGAGGCAGCTGTCAGAGCTGCACTTTAACTGGCTTTAGCACGACGACCAGTACTGATAATAGAACTGTAAATACGTCTTTATCAATGGACTCCGAATCCGAAGGCTTCATGTATTCTAGATATATTGCAGCAGTAACCCACACCTGCATGTTTTCATTTATTTCAGCCCTGACAGGTAGGCAGTGAAGCAGGTCCCGGGTTTGAAAGCAGGAGTTAAAGGTTAAGACTCTTATTCTCTCTTCATTATGTAACCCAGTGAGCAGTGCTGCTCTGTTTTGATCTGCTCACAGACCCTTTAGTTGTTTTAGCTGTTTAAACCAGGAGAAGGAGTAAATTACAGTTCTGCTATGGGAGAGGAGGGAAAATTATAGTGTCCAGGGGAGAGATGTTTGTTTTGCTGTCCACTGATTGGACTTTTGTTGAGCATTTTTGACTACGTGGCTGGGACAGGTTGGTTTTTACTGTAAACCTCCAGTTTATTTTCATTTTGCACTTCTGGCTGAAGTGAGCTCAAACCAGTACAAATTCAGTACAGATGTAGTGTTTTTATTTGGTAGGAAAACTAGCTTTGACAATTAAATACTTATATCTATTCTATATGAATTAGTTCAATTTTAAGAACAGTTATTTATATATAAAAAAACATTTCTACTGAAATAATTCTAAAAGACTAAGGCAGTGGTGCAGATCCAAATGCTGTGGACAATTTTGGGTATGTTCCTTTTATCTTGTCTTTGGGGATTCTCAAAACCCACTTATCCAGTGATTGAACCAATAACTCTTTCCTCAGACTCACTGACAAATTCCAAACAAGTGAAAATTGCAACTTTGTCTTGGATGGAATAAAGACCACCACAGCTGAAGGACCACACATGATACATTCTTATGTGCTTTAATCTACTCGACAAGAATTGAACCAAAATGCAGAAGCTTTGGCTACATTCACACAGCAGGAAAGTGAAATAATTTTTTTTTTTTTTGCCCATATGCAACTCATATCCAACTTTTTCATAGCAGTCTGAAAGACCAAATTTCACATGCGGTACCAAATCATATACATATTCAATAATCTTCAATGCATCTGCAGTCTGAATGGTTATCCAACTATGATGTCATTGACTTGAGACATGCATCATAATTCTTCCCCCAGTGAAGTTGTAAATCTGGACGTCAACAGTTGCGAGTGGTGCCAACATTTTAATAGTACGAATGGCCTTGCAAAAAAAAAAAAAAAAAAAAAAATTTCAGCAAAAATCGTAATTGAGTAACAAGACCTTTTTATGAATGTAGCTGACGTGTTTATAAAACAAGAGTGCTCCCTTTGAGCTTTCATAGATCATTTCCACTTAATGATGTTTACAATCTGTCCAGCATACTGTAACACTGGAAAAGCTCACAAAGAGTAGTGTGGATGTTGTGATATAGTATATTTTCCTAGATTTGCGCTTTCCCTTTAAGATCTTTCTTTATTGACTTTATGGGTTATTAAGGGCATATTGACTTTTGTTTGACTCTGTCCGCAGAGTGACCTCTTAAAAGTATAAACCTCTCATCCATATGTGTTTGCATGGTTGCTTTCCCTTTTCCTTTGAAGTATATCAGTTAGCTTGGGTCGACAGGATAAATTGAACACAGATGATGCCTTATTTTATGTTTTCTCTACATCCTCTCACCCTGCATGGTTTTTTGCAAGCTGACCAGCTTCAGAGTGCATCTGATACAAATCAAACATAATACTTCATCTGTCCTTCATGAAGACTTCATGTCACAACAGCTTCATGGTGCGACCGCTCCTCATTTCCATCGACATCCTCTGACAGCAGAGAGTGTTAGACGTCTGAGCAGTGGACTCTGTGTGTGTGTGTGTGTGTGTGTGTGTGTGTGCGCGCGTATGTGTGCGTGTGTGCTGTCAGCAGCATTGTGTTCCATCCTCATTGTGCTGAGTTTCCAGTAAATGTCCACGTGCTTCACAAATGCGGTGCAGCCACAGTTCACGCTAGACACCAATCAGCCAAATGCAGCCTCTCTCCCAGCTAACGCGGAGTGGAAAGCAGTTCCTCTCAGGTGTTCTTAGCTAAGGCATGCAAACAGATGACGCCTGAATTACACAAACACAATCAGCTACACGGGGAATAATTATGCTTCACCTGAACTCAAGACAATTGAGGTGATAAGTTTTTTTTAAATTATGTCTGTCACGACATTAAACTGAAACTTCTGGTATTTACAATAAGACTGGTTGAAATGGCAACTTTTGCATAGAAAAATCTATTTAGGAGTAGTGGTGTAATGTTAGTTCAGATTTTTTTTTCTTGCTTGGATAATTATTGCCTCTGGTTTTGGATACAGTGTAGCTGTAAGATTTTTTTTTATTATCTTTTTGAACAATTGTTATGAGTTGTAACCATGGCAACAAGTTTTTGATTTTGATTAATTTTGAAAATAATCACAGCCTTCTTGGCAATTCATCTATCACTGCACCACTGCTGCTCTAAAACTAAAGCTTACTCTTTACCAAATCTGCTTCAGTATAATGCATTACATCAACTGGTGCAGTTGTACCTTTAAATGACACTCTTTAATTGCATTCCATTTTATTTTTCAAATATTTTAACATTTGCTGAAGCTTCAACGATGGAAAAAATAGTTAAAACTGCAAAATGAAGCAATGTTTTGAAGACTTGCAAATATTTCCAGTTCTTTGTTGTTGTCATAATAAATCATAGCTATCTTCATACTACCCTATTTTCCTTGATATAACAATATATGATCAATAATATGATCATTGCCAATATCGCCCCAAAAAAAGATTTCAGCATTGTATCTTGGAAACGTGATTGTACCCCTAGTTACAATCACAAGCATACAACCGGATAGCATTAAGCATTCCCAAAGCATGATGCTGCCACCACCATATGTTAGTGTGGGGATGACGTATTCAGTGGTTTGTGGAGGATTTTCCAACACACAAACAGGCAAACAATTTCTTTTTTTTTTTTTTTCTTATTTGTGATCTCACCTGATCATATCTTCAAATTGCTGTGTCACCTACATGATTTGAGAGATTTCCAGATTAGAATGCTGTTTTAAGACCTAGCCCTGCTTTAAACTTCATCCCTGACCTGTCTGCTGCACTCTTTGGTTTTCATGTTGCTGTTTGTTCACTAATTTTCTCCAACAAACTTCTGGGACCTTCACTGAGCAGCAGCAATTATCCTGGGATTCAATTACATGGACTCTGTTATAATTAAGTGGGTTCTGAGGGTATTTTGTTGCACTGGATTGTATTTAGGGAAGGAGCAAATACCACATGCAACCCACACTATTCATATTTGTAAAACCTTATCTCCTTTTCTATCCACTT